CTGTGCTATTTCAGCACAAGTGTAGGATTTGAGCGGATGAAAGGGCGATAAAACGGGCTGTACAGAATTTATTGTTCGCATTGTGGAAACATATACAGTGGGCTGTGATATGATGCAAATCCAAAAGTTCTTACGAAAAAGCAACAAAAAAGGGAGAACACAGCCTTACTCTTTGACTGATGAAACTAATGATACACCATCAAAGACTTCTTCAGTACAGTACGAACATATAAAGAAAGAAAGAAAGAAAGAAAGAAAGAAAGAAAGAAAGAAAGAAAGAAAGAAAGAAAGAAAGAAAGAAAGAAAGAGTTTTCCTCATACCCTCATACCCTACATATCCCCGTAATCAAAGTCCTCTGTCTGTTTCCCTGTATCCTGACGTGACACCTGTACTGACAGCAGTGAAATGCATACTTTCTCTGTGCCTTTAATGCAGGCTTTAATTAAAGAGGAGCTTCATTTCCAGTCTGTGGTGATACACCAGATGCCTTTAATTTCTCCCCAACCACAAGCTCTCAATTAGCCTCCAGGTCACCCCGTTTTATTGGGGCTTCATAGCAAGTCAGTGGCAGTACTCTCGTCCTGTATTGTGCTTTTAAAACATTTGGATCTTCCTGTGAAATGGTTAGGGCCCCAACAAAGGGGTCAGGGCAGGGTCAACATCAAAAAGGGGGCTTCTTGGGGCTACTTTACAGCACCCTTTCTCTTTTGTCACTGCTAAACACAAGAGTGGGCATTCAAGGGTCAACAGGTGTGGTCTCATGGGTTTAGGATCTCATGGCACTTCCCAAATGAATTGAAAAAGACAGCAACTTGTGTTTTGGCTGTAACTTTGGTGATCACAGAAGTTTGGGTTTTAGAAAATGGATTAAAAACAAACACATCCTGAATAGTTGAATATCCCAAACTTTACATGTCATTAAAAGCAGACGGAGCAAAGCATGAAGGAAGCTTCCTGCCTGTCAGCAAAACTTGAATTGTCTGTGGACTCTTTTTTTTTTTCTTTTGCAGTGATATGTGCGGCCTAATTTAATTTGAGTGAAGATAACATCTTATCCTGAATGTGAAATATCCCACTTTTAAGATTGTCCTGCACTTCAAAAATTACATTTTATAACCCCTCTATATCTCAGTTCTCCTTTCAAAGCAGACTTTAAAGGAGTTAGTGCACAGATAACAGTATGGCTACATATTTCATTGCTTTAATTTGGGCCTCGCTGATCAGCCGAGTGCCCCTTGAACGTCACGGTGCCAGTGCCGCTGACCTATTTTGTGATTTCATGTTCCATCTCGCAGACAGCTGGCACTTCCCTTTTGTGAAGCGTTGGAGGCTTTTTGTGCATTTTGGGTGCTGGATTGTTTGGATTTGTGGCAGCAATGTTTGTCTAACAGAACCCTCCAGTATAAACAGTGGCTATGAATGACCTCTTCATATTCACACAGTCACACGCACACATGCGCACTAACACAGACAGACAGACAGACAGAGAAGGCAACTGTACCGTCAGCTATCATATGGCTTTGTGACACCTAGCAGTGAAACTTTCTTGAAAGATTGGGTTTGAAATAAGCTGGATTCAATCATCAGACGAGCTCACAGCATGCAGGAAGTGGTTGGCAGGATGTCAATGTAATCAACTGGATTCCTCTGCTATAGGCTAAAAAGAAAACAAGAAAGATTTGCTACTGCACATATATTTGTTAGCAAGCTGCAGTCTGCTAAAATTACTTAGCAAAATATATCAGAACTAAAGAGTACGAGTTTGAAACTTGTATCTAGCCTGGCTGCAGGATGCAAAGTTCTGACCATCTAAATTGAAAATAATAAGGTCACTGAACAAACAGCAGTCAACAATGTCAATCTGGATGAAATTACATGCCACGATAAACCATTTTGCCTAGTGTAAAGACTTGGACAAATGCACAGAGATGCTGGCAACAACTATAAATCCACGTGGGAGCTGCTACATAGCATGCTTATTTCTCTATGTATAACTCGACATGAATTAATCACCACTTGAGGACCTCGGAGAAGTTGGATTTCATTAGTTCCCTTGTCCTGTACCATCATGAGAGTTTTGTGAATTTGAATCCTCTGACTTATATAATTATATTCTCCTTTAAAGTTGATTTTCAACATCAAAGGGACAATATAGCCTTTGAAGTACCATGGGATTGGATCACCGTCTAACCCACTCTTTAAGATTCTGTCACAATGACATTAGGGAAGTCATGTGAATTAAAAGACTAGAGAACAGCTCTTGCCTTTGCTCTCTGTCCAATTTCAATCATAATGTCATGCTGTGCCATTTTCCCTGAATGTGGAAACTGGCAAGTGTGTTAGGTTGACATCTTTGTGGCTAAAAGCCTGTGACTAATATGTAAATTATTTGACAGTTACACTCTATAGGATTATCAAATCAGGGCTATAACTTCAAAAAGAAAGAAAAGTTTTGAACAATTGTGGACATTGTTTAAAATTATATTTTGCCACAAATTCTTTACTGTCACTCCCCTGATTCTGGTAATTCTGTAATTAAGTAGGAATATTACAGGAATGACATACGGATAAAATTCCCTATACCCTATACATACTATTAATATAGAAATATTAAAGAAATATCTTGCTGTACAATATGAGATAAATAAATAACAAAATGTTTTGTAAACCCTATCATAATGGCTTCCCCTCAGACAGTGGGACACACTAAACTCACTCCTGTCACTCGGTCAGGCCACAGGCAACAAAAGTATCGCTTTTGTTTGCTTTGTGTTTCTGTTGAAACTTTGTGTAGTAACAGACGGACTGTAAGAATAATGCTATTGGCGCGGTAGATCACTTACTTCTGACGCTCCAAAGCCTCGGGGAGTTGGCTCTAGATTGCTTGTCTTTGATAAGGTCCTGGCACACAAGTAAATCTTTTCCCTGTCGAGAAAAGTTTATTCAATATCATTACACGTCTATACGCATGGGTGTGTTTGTGAAGAATCGTTAAACAAAACATCTACTCTAATGTGTGGCTATTCCTATGGCTTTATCTTTATTTTGGTTTAGTTTATTTTGTTTTATTTCGTTGGTTGTTGCGAAGATGAAACGCTGTGTCTTTATGTATCTTCCGGGACCAGACCAGCGGTTCCTTACTTTGAAGTCCACAGTTAAACCCTTAGCCCAGTTGGTGTAGGAACAGCCCGGAGGATTTCTACCGCCTGCCATGACTTCTTGAAACACTACCTGAGGAGAAAAGTCGATAGCGAAACGCTTCTCTCTTTTATTCGCGGCTGCATTCAAATTGTCCGATGTGATAGGACATTACAGGACGGAGAAGAGCGCCGGGGCGGTTTATGGCACAGCCTGTTGTTGGACTACTTTACTTTCACGTTTTCTAATCAGTGAGGCTACTCCGGTACATGGATGGTAAGTTGTAGGAAAGCTGTTCCACAGGCCCCCTCTCTTGGCCGCTTTGATGTGCTGCTGCTGAGCTTTGAAGTTGAGAAATGCGGGCTATGTTTCTTGTTTGTGGGCGAGAAATACGGTGAGATAGATAAGAAGCTTATGTGTGTGTGTGTGTGTGTGTGTGTGTGTGTGTGTGTGTGTGAATGTATGAATGTGTGTAGCCCAGATAAAAACCGAATATTTGTCGGGTGGTGAGTCTTCTAGCTGGGAAAAAAGTGGGATGTATTCTTCAGTCAGACCCCCCCCTCTCCTCCTCCTCCACCTCCTCTTTTACCTCCTCCAGATTTTGACACCCCCAGTGATCTACATAGGGACTGAGCCTGCCTACTCTGAGGTCAGTTGTTGAATGGGACAGGGTACATTAAACTACAGTGGTTGTTTTGCAGCGAGATAGGACACATGTGGCACGGCACAGGCTTGAATTAGTCCGTCGTTGGTTTTTTGTGCTGGATTACTGTCTGGAGAGTTTTGGACTGTATTCGGCTCTACTGAAAATGGAGTAATAGTTCAACTTTTTCACGGGCTTTACTCTGGTGTGATCTGCTCTGCGATGGTATGTTGTTTTACGCACGTTTATTCAGCCTTCACCCATTGGATTTTTAGCATCGCTTGTATTATGCTGTAGAGTTACACTGCCTGTTGAGACTGTATGAATTATTATGTAGCATGTGTAACTGCCAACCACACAGTTTATGCCGTTTTAGTTGCACATCATTGCAACAACATTGCAGTCTCTGTAGTTTTGATGCTGAGGCTCCGATTAAACTCAGGTACTGGATAAGGTTTTACCACAAATGTATCAAGTCTGTCTGTCGTTTCGGCAGTTCAGACACGTTGCCGGGGCTGTGACTTTAATAATGTGCTGTAATAGCCTTCTTGGCCAGATATTAAGGCGATTGATCGCTTATATTTACGCATGAGCGGCTAGCTTTTCCCGCGGGGCTTTTTACCCCTCGTACATTACAACGTTTGAGGTCATTGTGGTGCAGATCAGATGCATTTCCACTCGTCTGTGTATTTCTGAGATGGTGAGGACAAGTGTAGGCTCCGTGTGTATGATGCAGGCAGGGGTAGGGTACGGTCGTCCGAAACAGATTGGGAATTAATTGGAGTTGAAGCCTGTGACATGGACTCGTTAGGAAAACACGTGTAAGCCACAGTTGTGAGAATACGGTTTTGGAGAGGAGTGAGGCTGTGTGAGATGATTATTCTTGTAAAATGTTTTTTGATGTGACAGATCAATGCACGCTGAGAATGTAGGCTGCAGTTGATCTCTCATTTAGATTATAAATAGATAAATGAAACGAAAAAAGCCTTTCATATTTCCTTTCTCTGTGAACCCGGCGAGTGTTTTTGAAGGGGACTGTTTACTTGATGTCTTTCTTTGAAGTTCAGCAGGATCTGGCTTTGATTAGATCAATACTTTGTGTTTCAGAGTGAAGAGGAGCTAAGAAGCTCCCCCGCTGCTTTTAGAGAGTGAGGAGGATTAGGCTGGAGCTCAGTGGAGGCACGACGGCACTCTCACACGGCAACCGGAGCTGGAGCCATGAGCAGGGCGCTTACGGAGCACATCAACAGTAGCTTCCGAGAAGATGCTCCTCGTCCTCCGGTACCGGGGGAGGAGGGAGAGGCGTCATGCTACAACCCCAGCAGATCTGCCAAAATGAGAGCCCAGAGCAAGGTTAAAGATACCCCCTCCGCCGCCGCGCCTTCCGGCTCCACACCGCGGAGGAACGAGGATGGACTCGGGGAGCCAGAGGGCAGCGCGTCCCCGGACTCGCCGCTAGTCCGGTGGACAAAGTCTCTGCATTTTCTCCTGGGCGACCAAGACGGCGCTCACCTCTTCAGGACCTTTTTGGAGCGGGAGAATTGCGTGGACACTTTGGACTTTTGGTTCGCCTGCAACGGCTTCAGGCAAATGGACTTAAAGGATACCAAAACGTTGCGAGTTGCCAAAGTTATTTTTAAGCGGTACATCGAGAACAACAGCATTGTCGCCAAGCAGCTGAAACCCGCCACCAAGACCTTTATAAGGGATAGTATTAAGAAACAACTAATAGATTCTGCCATGTTTGACCAGGCACAGACGGAAATTCAGTCCAACATGGAAGAGAATGCATACCAGATGTTCTTGACCTCTGACATATACCTCGAATACGTGCGCACCGGCTGCGAGAACGCGGCGTACATGAACCACAGCGGTCTCGGCAGTCTCAAGCTGATGTGCGGATACCTTCCTCCTCTCATGGAGGAAGAGGAATGGAGTTGTAATGACCTGAAGGCAAAAACGTTAGGGTCTGTGGTTGGACTGTCTTCGAAAACCCTGAGGGCTACTGCTACCATCCGGACAGCAACTGAAGTCCTGGAGAACAGTTGCAGGTAGGAGCAGCGCTCACCTCAGCAATGCATGTCTGTGTCATTACATCTTAGTGCATGTTGATTTTTTAGCTCAAGCTACTGTTCTCATGATCACCATTCCTCCATTAGTTTAACTACAGTGAATATGTGGCAGTTGAAAGTTATTTCACAAATTCCAAAGAGAGAGATAAAGGCACTTAATCAAAGGGTCTCAGAGGAACATGCCTGTATATTTGTGCCCTCCTGCCTTGCAGTTAGCCAAGGGGTTGGAGGGGTGGAGGGGCGGGGTGGGTACAAAACATCAATGGATCCCAGCCTTCCTTTTAAGTAAATGGTGTCTTGCAGGCAGCCCTCTGCTGGCTTGCTCAAGTTTCCTGTGCTTTGAAACCCTTCCTCCGGTTCAGGCACAAATTCAGACACCAAGTCTCATGACTGTTACAGCTACATGAAACAGTCTGATGCTGTTGTAAAGTTATGCGGTATTTTCGTTCATTCTGCTCACTATGCCATACAGTTATTGTATGATGTCAAAAATCCCCCTAACCCGGAGAAATGCTAGTGCAGAGTTAAAAGGACTTGTGCAGCCAGTCTCATGCCAAGCGGAGATATTGTTCCCTTGGTCAGAGATGAAAGTAGAACTGTTTGTGGAAATCATTTGGGCTTTTATCTTAAGAGCTCATCCCACACATTGTCCAACAGCTGAAATCTTTTCAAGCCAGGAACATTTTCAAAAACTGGATTTTATGCACGAGCCTGCATCAAAGGGCACTTAAAAGTTTTTCACTCGACTTCTTTGTCCTCACATCTGGACGCAATTATTACTTCGAGGTTTGACAAAGTCTTGATATTTGGTTTGGTAGGAAAGGAGCAATTTATAGATAATCCATACTTTCCCTGTCAAGTTAACTAAACATTTAGGGAGACTAGGGATTAGAAATGGTCTCCAGCATGACTTTTTGATGACATTGTAAAAACTAATTGATTAAGTCTAGTAACTGAACTTAAACACTCCCTTGAGGATTTTATCCTTCATGTGAGCAGATGTCAGATAACATGATAGCACAGTTAACTCATTTGCTTCAAAGTGATCACGTTGAGTTTGGGACCAATAAGCACAGGGTTTGTTGACATGTGGGCATCTCCTGGTTTCCTGGTGTGATCCCCTGCATTCTTGTTTTTCACTGAAAGAAAAGCAGGAGGGAGAGAGCCCCCTCTTTCTCCCTTCCGTCACCCGCGCTCTCCCCCTTTCCCCCTGCCCCTCACCATCTCTTTAGGTCAACCAATTTCCATCTCAAACATGTGGAACTAATTTTGCCACTGCACAGATTCCTTTTTTTCCCTCTTTTTGAGAAACCTCCAATACTCAACTCCAAAGTGATAGAAAAACACAACAACAAAACATCCTCAGCTCAGTTCCGCAGCTTCAACCACCAAAACCACTTTGCCATAGATTGTGTGTGTGTGTGTGTGTGTGTGTGTGTGTGTGTGTGTGTGTGTGTGTGTCAGTGTTTTCCTTCCTCTTTCTCCTCTATCCAGCGCTTTTATCTCTCGTTTTTGAAAAAGAAAATCTGTCTGACAGAGACTAAGCATGCTTTGGAGGGAGACAGGGAGAGACAAGAGGAGGGGAAGGGGGAAGAAAGACAGAAAGAAAGAAAGGAAGAAAGGAGATGGAGAAACAGAGCAGGGGGTGCAGAGAGCCCAGCTGTGCTAAATACCTGACTCTTTGCGCGGACCTTCCAAAGGTCAGGTTTGAGCTTGGGGCCTACGGCTTTAGTCATGCTGGGGTTCTCCTCTCAGCACTCCCGGCAGAAGGCATTCTCATAAAGAAAGGGGCCCTCCTTCCCCCTTTCCATCTCTCCCTCCCTCTCTAAAGCTCAAGTTCCCCCTTCCTCTTCTTCCCTCCCTCTTCCTTGTCCACCCCCTTCACTACTGGAACAGGAATGCAACACAGCAGGAGAGAGTAGAAAGACAGAGAGAGAGAGAGAGGCTTTAGAAAGGAAAGCAGGGGAGAGTGGTAAAGGAGGGGCCCCAGACTGGACGATAGAGAGAAGGAGAGATAGAAGTGGGAGAATGTGAAAGAGAAAACACTCCAAGGAAAGAGAGTGGGGTTTCTGAGTGGAAAAGTGCAGGAGTAATGGTATAGAGACAGCAGAAGAGAGAAGGAAGGGGAATGCTGTTATTCATTCACACAGCAAGGCTGCTCACTTCACCATGATCACAACTCAACCCCCCCTTCCACAAACCACAAACACACACTGCCCCTGTATATTAAGGAGGGGGGGGGGGGCATAAAAGAGAGGGTGAAAGAAAGAAGAGACTAGAAAAAAATAACATGGCTCCATCTCTAACACTTGTCACATTCCCCAGGCCCCAAAGTCTCATAAAAATGACTCTTAATTACAGAAATCTGCAGGGAATGTCAACAAAACAAACTCTGAGCTGTCACGTTTGCTTTTAAAATCTGATCAAGTGAACAACAGGAAATAGAAGCAAATAAACTTAACCCGACTGTGTCACATCTCTGCCTAATCAGACATCACGGTAAACAAATCATCCTGGGTCTTTCACAGGTCCCACCGTCGAGGAGACCCCGCCAGCCCCTACTTTGTCAACTCCGGCTACATTTTTGCCCCTGCCACCAGTGCCAACGACAGCGAGATCTCCAGCGATGCCACGACAGATGATTCCATGTCCATGACAGACAGTAGTGTGTAAGTGTTTCTAGTTTTTCATTGAAATCAGAAAGTGTGTCGGTCAGCTTCATTTGAACCCAGATTGCTCTGGAGATAATGTAGCAACTCCAAAAGGTTAATTTCCATTCCGCTGATCTTGGCCAGAGCTCTGTGAATTTTATTATTTCCATAGTATGTAAACGTGCCCGGACTAGAGTTCAGTCAACACCTTTCCAGGAAAAAGTCTAGGGGTGTGAAGAAAAATATTTGGCCCTTTAGTTTTACAGACTCAGCTTTTCTTTGGGCCAGGGGACTGCACTGTTGCAAAATAATGGCCTGTAATGTATTTTAATTATCCTCTATGATTGACTCCAGGTAATTCTATTAAAGTGTAGTTGTTGCTGTGGCCTCCAGGGAGATAACTCTGGGAAAGTCATTATGACTGAAGACCTTTTGAAGTATATTCTGATGCGTTACAGGCTGGAGAGAAGGGAGAAAAAATGAGAACGTCTTGATGTGGGTGGGGGCGTTGCCTCATTTTCCTCAAAGTTGAAATGTATCCATCCCACCCTTCTGCCACAACAGACTTGTTTTTTTTTTTTTTCATATTATCTAATCGCTTTTTCCCTTTGAAGAGATGGAGGAGAGGGGGAGGAAAATGGCCATTCGGGCCTCAAGACAAACTCATTGAAAAATGTTGGCATCAAATGAAAGGAGGCTTACTCACATGGTGGGTCGGTTTCCTGCCACTGGCCTCTGCAGCGTGCTGAGATCATGTGTCTGCGAGGCTTTCACAGGGGTTACTCATTTCTAGACCTTGGGACAAGGCATAAGGAACTCCCCCTGACCACACTAGGGCACCCCCAAAAAAATCACCTCCACCCTCCCAGCCCTCCAAAGCTTCTCTCCTCTCCTCCAGCCTCCAGAGCCAATAGCAGGAGTGGTGAGGCTCAAAGTACTAGGGAGTGAGAAAATAAAGTGCATGGAGTATAAAGGGCTTAACTGAATCGCTTTCAGCCTATTGTTAGGTGAGGGGAGCTTAGGGGGATAAGAGGGTGGCTGGCTGCTTTGAAAATGACTTGCACAACTGAATAGGAGATCCCCATAAAGTAAGGGCCCATGAAACCATGAAAGAGTCCACGGCTGTTTTCTCTTCCCCAACCTGGACAAAGCATCCAGCCGTCACATGGTTCGCCGGGATGGGAACAGTATGGACATAGTTGTTCGGACATGATAAAACATAGTTAGTGAGAAGGAAGTTGGCGAGCTTTGTTTGTTAATGATGTTTTGCCGCTAAGTTTGAGGTTCTTGTTTCTGCACAAGCTCCTCTGGGCTGTTGAGTTTTACTTTTGAAGAGTTTCCTGTGTTTCTTCCTGCGCCTTGAGGGATGGTGGCTTGTAGTCTCGGGGGTACAGTTTGTGAAACATTGATTTTGGTAGTAGGGCCTGCAAGAAGCTCGCTGCAACTCGGGTGATTTCAGCAGCGTGGCTCCACTATCGGATTTTTCTTGACAATGTCACTCTCAAATGTTAGTTGCAGCACTTGTTCAGATGAAAAAAAAAAAAACAACACCATGTGCCAAAGTCATCTTTTAATAGTTATCACCAAGGTCTTTGACACAGAGATCTCTCCTGTCCTTGTCCCTAGCTCTCGTTTCCCTCTGCCCCTAACTAATATTCATGAAAAAAAAAAAACACAGCTTCTTCCTCTCTCATTTAAGGGAACAATTTGATTAGTGTGTCCTTTTATAGTGGTTAACAGGCACACAGCAAATTTGAATCTCATTTCCCAGATAAAGAACAAGAAGAGGAGGATTTGGGAAGGGGGGGTGGAAGAAAGGGTGGGGGGATTTTTTTCTCTTTTTGCTTATATCTTATTTATGGATTTACTTGGACGCTGGGGAATGCTGCTGCACCAACTTCAAACATTACCTTATCTTACAAACCAGCCTTTTGATGTTGCTGAGATCAGAGGCTCACAGCAGAGCGCTTGCCAAACGAAGATGGCAGCGGGTGCATATGTGCATGAGTGTGAGATTTCAAAGAGGCAGCAGAAAAAGTAGCGTTTGGGCTAGGTCAGACACTTCTGAGCAGCCAAAACGGCCAAGATAATTGGCCCAGCTTAAGTGGCAGCTGACTGGAAAAGCTAGCAGACACAGAATGAAAAATGGAGAATAAGATTCCCAGAATAAATGCTTAATTGTCCGGAGACTACTATTCCTTGCTACATCTTGATTTTCATATTAATATATCAGAGCACCAAAGCCAGCAGCACTTAAGCCACATTTGCTAGACTGCTTTAACCTGTTGTAGTTTCTGACCCAAACCAACTACTGAGGTAAGCGCTAATTCTTCTGCTTTTTAAACAACCACTGTCAGAGTTGACAAGGACTGATGTAATCTTATCAGTGGGACTCTTCTTTTGAAGCCCACAGGGATGTTTAGCATATCTCTCCCATTGTCCTGGTGTGTTTTGTTATGTGTGTTTTTGTTGCCTTGGCTTCAAGGGCTCCCGGCCTTTTGATTTAGCTGTAATGTGCCTAGTGGGTGGTTACTGGGTGGTGCTTTGTCGGTCACTTCAATGATAAACTGCCTCCTAAGGGATTGACTACTGGTGCTAATGCACCAACTGTTTGTGTGCATGAACTGTGACTCGATGAGTAGCAGTAAATCATCGAAAATAACATCCGCTGGAGAACTGGTTATAACAGATTGGTTAATTATAATTAATGACCTTCTGAGTGGTCTTTGACAGCACTTTACTTCTTCTTTGTTTTTTCTCCACATGGTAACGTATAATACCTTTTGGTTTTTACAGAGATGGAATCCCTCCATACAAACTGGGCACCAAGAAGCAGCTCCAGAGAGAGATACATCGCAGTGTCAAGATCAATGGCCAGGTTACGCTACCCCACTTTCCTGTAAGTCCTACTTCCTTAAGTTCTACTTCCTGTCTCAGTGTTTCCCTTTTTGTAATCTGCTGAACTCAAACTTTTACACACTGACAGACAACTGGGTCCTGATTCCCTCGAGGAGATGTGCTTTATTTTATTTTTTTTCAGCGCTCATGTTGTGACAGAATACTATATTTCATTCCCCCCGCTCGTTTTCATATAAAAGTCTGGGTAAATGAAAGGCAGAATTTGCATACCACTTCACTTCTTCTTCAGCTGTTTCAAGCCCCTCCTTTTCCCCCGTCCCAGTCGCTTCTGTAGGGCTGTAAATATAAACTTGTGTAGTCATCTCTGTGTTCTGTCTCAGCAACTGTAGTGTGTCACAAAGTATCATAACTTCATATGTTTTTGTGCATCAATGATCGCTGTGGTAATGGACATGATGGTAAATTCAACTTTAAGATTACTCTTTGAACTGGCTTAATTATTACCAAAACTACTCTTTCCCTCCCAGAAGATGAATAGGAGGCACATCACTATTAAATTCTACTTTCCTCTACTGCCACCCTACTGTCTGGTCCCATTAGTATTTGGGTCAGGCAGTGTATGTGCTTTGAATTCAGCATTTTGTTGACCTGCTGAAGTTGTTTTGGGAAGGTTTAAGGAATTGTGTTAGGACAGACTGACACAGGTTAGGAGGTGGGTCTGTTTGAGGCAAGAAAAGAGATATGAGATTCTTTTGTCTTCATATCCAAACACAGGTATGTGTATGTGGAAGAGTTGTGTGTGTGTGTTTGTGCATGTATTTGACAGTGTTGTCTGTTCCCCCTTTTTTCTCTCTTCTCTGTCTTCTCTCTCTCAATCGCTCCCTCTTTTCCTTTCCCACTTGCACTCCTTTAATGTCTCCCTCCTGATTTGGAGATGGCTCTGTCTCCCATGATGCACCAGCCCCAGGCAGCAGGGGCCCCGTGCAGGGCTGGCGCTCCTTTGCCAGCAGCTCCGCTTGCCTTTCTTCTTCTTCCCTTCATCGTGTCTACAAAGAGATGAGAGGAACAACAAAAAAAGAGTCAAAATCAAGAAAGCCAGTGTGCCAAATAACAAAAAAGTAAGAAAGGGAGAGTGAGAAACCAGTGCATATAGTTAAAGAAAAAGGAGGATAATGTGACCAGAGTACCTCTGAGCTGCCCTGCATGCAGCCAGGAAATAAATTACTACTTCCCCTCAGATCTTCCCAGTATTTGACTCGTCTATCCTCTCCCTCCCTCTTTTCCCTCCTTCTCTGTCTCGCTCTCTCCCTGCCACTATTGCCACTTCACAAACGCACATCTCAATCCTCTTCCTCTTTTTTCATGCTGTTAATTTTGTCCCCCTCTCCCTTTTTTCTACTCCTCTTCTCACTCTCTCTTCTCTGTCGATATCTGGCTTTTATTCGGAGATTTAAAGCTGCGTGTCCCTCCCACCCCTAGTGTGCGTTTGATGTTTGACAAGGGCCCTTTGAAGTGTGCTGACTTCAGAGGCTGCCTAGCTGATGGCTTGGTCGGGCTACAGAGGGTGCAGGCAGGGGGCCTCCCCTCCGAGCGAGACCAACTGCTACCCCACCATCACTACCCCCTTCTCTCCCCCTCGCCCAACAGCCTGGCACTGCCAAGGGCACTGGGCATGAGAAGATCTGGGGAGGGATGGGCGGCGGAGAAGGTTTGGGTTAGCTCGAGGGCAAGGGCATCTGGATTAGGCCTTTTGGAATAGTAGCAGGCTTTTTGGAACAAGATAGGATTAGGGCAAGGGCAGTGGATTAATGCACCATATTGCATCTGTCAGAAACACTAAGCGGTTACACTCACACACACACTCTAAAGTGTCCTTCCCCCTGTGTTGCTTACCCTGCAGAGGACATACCGGCTGCCTAAGGAGATGACCCCTGTTGAGCCCTCAGCCTTTGCTGCCCAGCTCATTGCCAGGCTGGAGAAGCTGAAGCGGGAGCAGGACACCATGAGTTCGCTGGAAGAGAGGCTGCAGCAGATCCAGGAGGTATGCGCGCACACAAACCTGTTCTACAAAGCCCAACACCTCCACCTACACTGAGCATGGCTGCCACTTGGAAATTCTAACTTGTAACCAAGTTAGCTTGGGATGACGGTTGCGTATTGCACTACAAAAGCCCGTATGCCAGCTTTAGCATGTCGAAGAACAGGGAAAAACCAAGGGATTTGAAAGTCTGTCTTGGTTTAGCTACGTCTTCCCTTTTCCTCTCTGTCCTCCATTATTTCATCTGGAGGAACTTTCAAACTTATGTTTCTAGACACACTTGAAGTTCCTTCAAATAGTTAGCACTTAGCTACTCTCCAGTGGCACGTTTACTGAGTATGTGTAGTGCCAGTCTCTTTGTGAAGCACAGGCACACTCTGCATTATAGATGAAGTGCACCCAAAGCCTGTTAGCGAAGATAACAGTGCGGCAAAAAGGAAACTCAAATCAAGTTATCCAGGCGTTTGCTCTCACTGACTTCAGAGTACGATAGATATAAGTTGGTGTAAGTTGAGACATAAATTCCTCTGCTTGCTGCCTTTCCCACGTGTGACTGTGTATGAATTTTTTCATCAATTGCAATAACTTTTTCTTTTCTTTGCCTGTCCAGGAGGAGGAAAGGGAGGAGAGCAGCGACCTTGCCAGCAACACCTCCCTCCATCACCCTCTTCTCCCATCTGGCAGTCAATGCGAGGAAGACCCCCAGGCTATCCTAGACGAGCACCTATCCCGTGTTCTGAAGACACCTGGTTGCCAGTCACCAGGCGTGGTTCGGCACTCGCCGCGCTCACGCTCCCCAGATCGGACGGGTGCTGTGGTGTCTTCTGGCCACGGGCCCTTCTTTGGTGCTTATCCTGGGGCCACCAAGGTTCTGATGACAGGCAAGCAGTCCACAAAGCACATCCACCATCACTACATCCACCATCACCACGCTGGGCCGAAGACCAAGGAGCAGATCGAGGCCGAGGCGGCTCAGCGCGTGCAGTGCCTCTGCCCTCCAGGGGGCACCAATTATTCTGACTTCACCCCTGCGTGAGTGTTACTTCTGAACATCGTACATTAGCTCTTAGTACCTGACTTCCTAAGTTTTCCCGCTGGTAAAGCTGGTCGGTCTCTGGTCGTAACTTGGCTCTCTCGTCTCGTTCCAGTCGCTGCAGCACTTTGTCCAGACGGCCAGTCAAGGCCACAGATGAGGGCGTGTCTTCACCGCGCCTTCCACTTGATGCCACTGATCGCTCTCAGAATGTTTGGCAGTGGATCCTAGAGAGTGAGAGGCAGGGCAAGCACAAGCCACACAGGTAGGTGTCTTCCAGGAATCATCACATTATTTGTAACAAAGAACATTAGAGTCTTGAGGCCACAGCTCAAATATATTATATATTGACCCTTTTTTTTGTTATCCTAACAGCACTCAAGGTCTGAAGAAGTCCAGCCCACTTGACTCCAAGACCCTGCCTGGTCGGACTAACTACTCTTGGGGTGGAGGAGGCATCGGCAGTGGGGCTCACCTCCGTGGACACCACCCTGGCCACCCGTTCATCCAGGATCCAGCCATGCCACCCCTGCCCCCACCCAACACCCTGGCACAGCTAGAGGAGGCCTGCCGCAGACTTGAAGAGGTCTCCAAGCCACCAAAACAGAGGTAGGCAAATTTGGACACCAAAACTGCCAATCATACATATTCCCCATCTTTCACTTGACTGGCCGCATCAGAATACAGTGTAAATGATGTCCAGTGGTTTCTCTTCACATTGATGTGAGTACTGATTAGTAATTGATCTCTGATTTTGACAGGCATTCAACAGCAGCCAGCAGCCTTCAGAGAGACAGGAGCCATCCAGCAGCTGCCTTCCCCACTGGAGGAAGCCCTCTAGCCAGCCCTGGACTCCAAACAGACGAGTACGGGCGTTTTCTTTTACTTCTCGCTTTTTGAATCTATAACACAATCCTGTCTTTCTTTCTATCACTTTTTTTCTTTTTCAACTGCTTTCTAGCTTTCTAGTTTTCCAGATTTAATTCCTCAGACATGTTTTTTAATGTCCCCCCCCCCCTTCTCCAAGCTTGTGTTTTCGCCCTCTTCCTCACAGATTTTTCTTGCTCTTCCCTTCAAAGAGAGATGTTGTGAGTCAGCATAGCTATGTCTTTGAACTCCTCTTCTCTCGCTTTTTAATCATTTAAGATTAAACATGCTTTAATATGGAATCCTAACTACCCACCAGTCTCCCAGCACACACACTCACCACTGGAACCCAACAAAGATGTGTTAAGTAGCCCCTGGTAACTCAAATTTATCAGCCCCCTTCATACATGTGTTGTTGAAAGGGGTAGGTGTTTGATGTTAAGCTGCAGCCACCTGACTGTGAGGCCTCTTTTAGTTTTAATTGGATGACCCTCGGTGAGCCAGCTGTCTGTTGGCATCCTTAATTAATAATACTCCAAAGATTCTTTGTCTACATTCAACACCCTGACTTCTTCTCCTACAAGTTCAGCTTTTGAACGCCATTTTTCATTTTGCGTTTTCAGGTCTAAGGAACTAGTGGTCACCTACTTCTTCTGTGGTGAAGAGATTCCCTATCGCAGCATGATGAAGACCCACTGCCTCACCCTGGGACACTTCAAGGAGCAGCTTAGCAAGAAAGGCAACTACCGGTAAATATGATGCACTGACAACAGCACACAGATCACAGTACACTACCACATACTCGGGTAGATGTCTATTTGCACCTGTTTGGACGGGGCTGGTGCTGTAGCAGCGTGTATGTATGTGTGTGTACGTGCATTTGTTATTGTACTTGTATATGCTTGTCTGCTGAGTGGGAGTGTGAAATCCTGGAGCCCAATAGTTGAAAAGAAACTGGGCTGATCCACTGTATTCAGAGCTTACAGAGAGAGGGGAGAGAAGGGGGGGGGGGGGAATTTTTTTCTCACATCTGGTACTGATTTCCATGGTAAGGCAGCCTTAATAAATATGGCTTTGAAGCCTGGGCCATTTTATTTTGTGCACAAAGACCATTGCGAGGCCTCCACACTATTGCATCAGACATTTAAATCAAATGCCGCAAGCACCTTCTTCTGGTAATGACCGATAGGAGTTAACACAGCAAAAATACCTCCGGTCAGTGTCAGATGATGAGGGAAAATCCCTCAACAACTTAAGGACTTGTAAGATTATTTAAAATATAATGGCCAGTCAGTTTAAAGAAAATTGAAATCAGGAGCCCTATCGTCCAGGAAGTCCAGGCTCGCTTTATCAAGTAACTGTTCCAGTACTGCGTAGGTTGTATGCCACTGAAAAGACATAAAGCCTGCATGCCCATGACATCAACATTAGGTTACAGCCACATCTGCTTGTTAGGCAAGAGAGAGAAGGCGGCCTGCAAACAAGTCATTGCACCCCTGCTATCCCATAACTCTTCAGTGAGCAAGAGAGGAGGAGGTGGATGAAGCGTCTGGCTTCAATGGCAGCAGAATGTGTGGAGTTGGTTAATTTGGACATGGCAGCGGTACAGCGGAGAACAGTATGCCGTGGCTCTGCCAGATGATATTGGTGCCAGATGTTGCGAAGAGAGAAAAATCCTGCCACATAAAACATGTTCCAATGGAAAGACTCCCTCGGTCTCTCTCTGTCTCACTCTCTGAAACAAAGTGATGACTTTGAACTATTTGTGAGTGAAAATGTAACATTTTGAAAAAAAAAATCCAGCCAGTTAAATTGAGATGGGTAATGGGTTTATTTGTTTGTTTTTTTTATTAATGAAGATAAAATAGCTTAATCCTGCAGAGCAAAGCTTAGACAACAGAGGAGAAGTTTGCTGAAATGCCATATCATTAAACAAAGCCATCACTCCTCTGTCACATCCCTGCACACTTGAGTAGAAAAGTCTTGCTGCCTCCTTCTTCGTTTGTGTGTAATTACAGTCAACATGGAAAATAAAACAGTGTATATACATTTTTGTATGCCCCTCCCTTGTTTGAATGACTCAAAGCTGAGCGATAAAACAGAGCTTTTTTTTCCCCCTTTTTTGTATTCTGAACGCAGGCACACATGGGCAAAATGAGGCATTTTTCCATTACAAAGCTTATCATTAAATCCCCTCCCGCTGATCTTTTGCTGGGTTTAAAGTAGAGAGGAGAAATCATTAGGAGCTCCAGGAGACTTCACAGTCACTGGGACCAAGCTAACCCTGGCAGTTATCTCTGCTTGAGAGAAGAAGAAGGGGCTAGCTAGGTGACCCGTGACCTCCAGGAGACTGTCTAAGCCCCCCCCCCCCCCAGGGTAAAGCCCCTTGGGCTCGGCCCGCATACAACCTATCACACCCAGTCACCAAGCCAGGGAAGGCCTACACTCCGCATTCGCTTTCTTCTCTTCCTTCTCCCTCTTTTTCCCCTCTGTTCTCGGCTGGTGATTGGAAAGCTGCCCACAGTGTGCGTGTGTCTGTGATGGCGAGTGTGTGTGAGAGAGAGAAACATGCAGCGTGTGTGTTTATGCGCAAGTAGCAGAGTGTGGTCTTGCAGTCACAGGCAGACTCTGAGGCACCTGAAATGTCAACCTTTGTGACAGAAAGGCCCTTCATTTGACAGCCAGCCCAATTAGAAGCCATGGAGACATGGGGGGGGCACTATTGAAGAGAGAGAGAGCAGGGGGCGGGGGCTTAAGACAGCCTCTAATTAACCCTTCAACTTTAATAAGACCTTGCAGGACAGATAGGCATCTGTAGAATGGCCAGCAGTCAAGATGAACAAGTGGATGAGGAGACAAGCACACATGGATGAACACACACACACACGCACACATACACACACACACACACACACAGGCTGTTTCTAGCAGCTTGGATTATCACAGGGAGTGTTTAAACGGAGGGTTCAGCTCTGTTTGTGCAGCGGTGTGATGTGGAGTCAGGCTCTGCCTTTGAAGTGTGCAGGGATGGCATTGAAGGCTATGACTAAGTTGTTTTGAGCAGGATCCATTTCTGGCTCTCAGAGTGTGTGTGTTTGTGTTTGATTTGGACTAAAGGGAGTTGTGCGCAAGCATGTATATGGAAGTAGTTGTGTAGGTGCCTCAAAGCGGTTTTAAAACACGATGAAATATATCAGATGCACTCCTGTTGCCACTCTGTCAGGTTTCGTTTGAGTTCATTTTTTGTTTTGTTTTTACCACCTACACCTACGCTCAGCAATTTCTAATCACAGACATTTCTCTCTGTTTTCCCTCCTCAGGTACTACTTCAAGAAGGCAAGTGATGAGTTTGAGTGTGGCGCTGTGTTCGAGGAGGTGTGGGAGGATGCCACCGTGTTGCCCATGTATGAGGGCAAGGTCCTGGGCAAGGTGGAAAGGATGGACTAAAAGCCACTTTGTTGCCAGCCAACCAATGCCCTTCCCTGCCCAACCAAAAGCTAAACTGTCCCTAAAAAACTTGAGCAAGAGACTCTATGTAATTAACAAAAAAAACACTCTGGACTCCTTTGTTGTTTTGTTTTTTTTCTATTTCTTAATATTAAGCTAAACAGAGTTAATATATCCAGCACAAGAGGAGTGATTGAAGGAAGACGAGCCAATGAAGTATACCGAATCCAGAGGAGGTGCCGCCCCTCCCTGACTTTCTCAACCAATCAGCCTTAGAAACACAAGGGAATGACATGACAGACTTTTAAAGGCCAATGCAAGGAGGATGATGATGATGATGATCTTGATGGTGATGATGATGATGATGATCAAGAGGAGGACCCCGCCTCTTCTTGAATATAACCACTGAAGATGACTGTTTTGTCGTGATGTGATGAGAGACTGATGGTGCATTCGGCACATCGGCTTCCCGGCCGAGTGCAGCGGACTAGCAGGCGCTGAAGATGCAGTGCCACCAACCTGCTCTTAACGTTACACTCCAACATCGTTACAAAAACGTCTGTACGTGTGCATATACATACATGCATATATGTATATATACATGTATTATATATATAGATGCTTTTTGTCATGAGTTGAAAGTTTTTATTAAGTATTTATTGAAAAAAACAACCCACTCCTTTCCCTGTTCTCCCTTCCCAAGTCTTCTTAAACCTGTGTTCCTCCCTCTCCCTATTTCCAGCCAATGGGCAAGCTGCTTTGAATGTTGGGAGAATACTGTGGTGATATTGTTTAGTGTTTGTTTTTGTTTGTTTTTACTTTACACAAAAGGATGTGACACTAGCCTAGCACCTCCCATAGCCTTGTAGCCCCGTCTGACCCAAAATAACAACCTTAGCAGTGGTCTTGTCCGAGGCGCACTCCCTCCACTATCCTTATGGGCAATCCCAGTCTTAAATGCTGCTGATAGTTTGTAATGTTAAGTTTGTCACACTAGCGTTTCCATTCCCTCGTTCTCTCCCCCCTCCCTCTCCTTTTCTCCTTCTCTCAGTCCGGCGACAGAGCTCAATCTTTTATGTTGTGCCTTTGTTTGTAAACCAGGCATTGCACAGGGGGGGGGGGGTAGTTGCAGATACACACAGAGGAGACCTGGAGCACAAGTTGTACCATCTAATAATGGCAGTGTTTACAGCCCGCACACCAAAATAACTTGTGCTAACAAGAACCAGTTTGGGTCATTGAGAACGACTTCTCAAGGAAGTCAGCTAGCGTGTCAAAAAACACAAAAAAGGAAAAAAAAAAAAAAAAGTGAACATTGAAGAATTATGGCTCCGATATCCTTTGAATGTTGTTACAGTAACATCGTATATAGCAGAGTTCCTGTATACATTGTAATTATGCATTCTGAAGTATGGATACTGACACATGTGATGCACACATAGAGTACACACACACACACACACACACACACAAACAATACACACATCAAACACACTATCGCTGGTGTTTTATGAGTACAGCACCTGTGCCTACATGGATGCCATACCATGTGCTACCCTGTTTCAGGGTTTTAATATATATCCCTTGATTCTCAGAAGGGTTTTATGTTGAAAAGATATTTTTATGCTTTTAATAATATCCTGTAATCATGTTTTTTTTGTTTTGTTTTTGTTTTTACACCACGGCCTTTTTTTGTTTTGTTTCATTCTATCTAAACTGTAAATTATACATTATATAAAGAGTTTCATTTAAAGATTTACATGGACCTATAATTATTGTAATTATTGAGAGATGTAGCCTTTATTAAAGTTTTATATTTTTCAAATGAAAGCTGCTGTGCCTGGAATTGTCTTTGATGATACAAAGATACTTACACCACTTGTGTCAACATGATATGTTTTCATATAATGGCCAGTTTATACTGCACAACAAACTTCCTAGTATTAGTAAGAGATTATTTTTCTATGACAATAATGAACTGAAGAGTTCATAAAGTCTGAGACACCTAGGCATGTATAAACACATTATGTTAGATACGAGCGTTCTTGTAGTTCAAATCTAGAAAAGCAAAATTCATGGCTTACCTGCAGTATTATTTAGCCAGTCAAGTGTTTCACGTGAAGCCTCACAGTGTCCAGGTGAACTACTGGTTTAAGATGCGTACCATATACAGTAATTACACTGTCCCGGTATGATTCTTTGTTGCTACACAAAAAGGCCATCAAAAAATAATGGTAATAATATCATGCTTGGCTCCGGGATAACATTCCTTTTAAATGAATACTATGAAAGTCAGGTGAGCAAGTGTATCGCCAGTTAAAACCCACTATAGGATGTCAGTATCAGCTGCTCAGCGATGTAGCACGTAACACACTAAACGGTAGGAAATATTGGACAGTGGAAATTACACCACACCATGCTATAGTCAGATGATATATACTGAAAATGACAGAATTTGCAAAGCAGGAAACCTGTTCTTAAATACTTGCAAAAATTATTCTTGACAGTTACCTGCCTCCTCTATGACCTTCATGTCTTTATCAGTAATGAAGAACGTAAAATGTCGTTCCTGTCGTCACCATTAAACAAGTACAGTAGTGTAGTGCTGTGATCACACCACAGTGCAGACTGACGATAGAGAGGTGACTCTTTATTTTAAAAAATAATCAATAAAATGAACTAATAATTATATCCATTACTGCCATTAAGTTTCAAAAACAGCTGGAGTGAAAAACTAAAAAAAAAAAGTCCAGGTTAAATTCAATGTGAGCTGTTAATTCACAGTGTAAACAGAAATCACTTAAAGCTTGCAACCTTTTGATGCATTACAGCCCCTCGGTGGTTAAACATGCAGGTTCTGTATTCAACACTTAAATGGGAGACATTAAGCATGGAAATGGGGGCATGGGCTAATTGGTCCTATTAAAGAGCAATGAGGACCAGCACTCTACTCTCTGACAGTCAACACAAACATTAATGAAGCACCCTGCATTCCCCATCAGAGGGCCTAGCCATGTTTGCCTCAATTATCTGGCTTTATTTCAGCAGTGGGGGGAAAAATCATTTAATACCAGGAAATAATTCAGTGGTGGGAGAGCGCGATGCTCTCTGCTGCATGCAGGCTCACTCACTTGTACGGCTCAGTTCAAACTGTTGACTTAAAAAGAGACTTGCAATTGGCAAAAAGCAGAGGTAGCCACGTAACAAAGATAACAACAGTCATTACTGACAAGCTTTCACTTCCCACAAAATGATTTTCTCATTTCTTTCTCCCCTGATAGCTGTTCCTGGCAATATGGCAAAAAAGGAAGAAAAACAGACAAGCTGCCAATGCCTGTCACATCTATGAGATACTGTAGCTTTTTCCTCTTTCTTAAAGCACATATATATTCATCCTCCTTTTTTGACATAAAAAATATTTCTGCAGCAGAACTGTTTGTATTTTTAACACCACAATTAGCAGATGAATTTCCAAGCGTCTTTTCATCAAAGGCACAGAGCGGTGAAACTTCAATATGCAATCAATGCATTACATACTCCCCAAACCTTAAAATCAATTCCTTCATGGTCTTAACTTCACAATGAGGAGGGTTTAATCAGGCTGAACCAGCTAGTTTCTGCTGAACTCTTTGGAACGGGGCAGGTGTAACCCTCCACCCTTCTGCCGCTGCCCTCCCCGCCTCTCCCCCCAACTCTATTTTTACAGCCTCTTGGGGCACTGGCTTTGAAGGGAAACCTATCCAGGAAAATTGCTTGCATTTTTCCCCAGCAAAGCGTTGATAGATGGACATTGACTGTCGCATTCCCTCTCCTGCACATCAGGAGCCCGCCCTCACCCCTCCACCCCCCGTCTTCCCTCAGCCTTTTCTGTGGCATTCCAGTCCTAATAGGTGCTTTGTTGAAGTGCATCGCAGGTTACATGTAGGCTCTGAAGTTCCTGTTTTCACGGAAACTTAACTTCCCATTTGGCGCTTTTGGCTCCTTAAACTTAAATTTTAATTTGAAGGACACAATTCTTTCACAGCGCCTTTTCATCAATGGAGAACATTTCTATGGTGTAACTTTGATTTCATTGGCAGCGTACGCTTTTCTTTCCCACCACTGCGTATGCCTTATATGTCCCATATCCCACTACTTTCATCCCTGTCTTTTCTCCAAACAGTGGCATTCATTTCTCCTTGTATTGTGGTAATTGGCATAGCATGGTTGAGGCTATTGTAAACATGGCTGTGTGAGACTGGTATAAAGAGGCACCAGTCACTCCCCAGGCTAAGCTAGTGTGCGAGGCAGGCAGGGGCTGCTGCCTATTGTGCTGGTGAAGCCTTTGTAGATTTGCAGCGGGCCCCTTTTAATCGCCTTCTCATACACTGCCTGTCGACTCGCTTTGCATATTTAATTGCCAGGTAAAATCATTTTGTCGACAATCCGTTTAATTATTTGATTGTACAGTAACCGTAAAGAGTGAGCGAAGGGAAGAGGAAGGGATAAAGGGGGATAGAGAGAAGGAGAGAGACAGAGAGAGAGCAGCAGGCAGCGGAGAAAGAAAGAGGTCTGTTGCCAGAATAGACATCAAAGCTGTGCCTTGATGTTGATGTTGAATGGGCATTAATGGTTTCTGAAGGCAAGAGATTGCACAGGAAAAAAAAAAGAAAGAGAGAAAAGAAAAAAAATAAATAAACCCTCCTTTTTCTCTGACAATCCCGCCAGCAATCTCAGTAAATGCATAAACATTGGAACCCGGTGCCAGATAGAGGGGTTGAACAGAGACAAGCAAAGTGAGAATGAGGAAAGCTAGTTGGACTGTTCACTTTCATTTCCTGTAATGACCGAAGGGTGAGTAATGGAGAAGATGGGTCAAACAGACTGACTGGTAGCTGGCAGTGATTAGGAGGCCAATGCCATGTTAAACCTTTAGGTTAAAAGACCAGAAGATTCGGATCAGTGTCATCATAAGTCACAAGCGTTTCAAAGTACAATACGCGAGGTTGTGTTTCATCCTCACGACTAAAACTGTTGGTTTGCTGAGCAAGTATCGTGCAGAATTCAACCCAAATATTGGATGGATGCTAATTGAGGTTACAATGACTCCTAAACGCAATCAGTTATTCAAAACATGTTGCAAAGTCCATGCTTGATTTAGCATAGCATCCCGTAATGCTAATCAAATCATACAAACCAGGGACAGCGCTGACTTAAGTGATCCAGTTTTATTAAGACAGTTTGACAGTTGTAGGATACCTAAACCTGCATTAGCTGATTCCTTTTGGCAATTTGGAGGCAGGATAACAAGCTGTAAACGCAACACTGACATATCACCACCTTATAAAGTTGATATACTGCACCCTAATGCCTATTTATAACTGCAGACTCAAGTGGGTGGAAGGAAGTGCCACATAGCCCTAATCATTCTTTCTGTCTTTTTGGCCGACATAAAAATTTCAAGCGCATGTTGTCTCTGCTTAGCCATATACCTCTTTCATGACACTCTTTCATCCTCAGCCCCTTCTGTCCCTCCCTCTGCTACACTTGAGGAGAGCAGGCATCACACACA